TTTTCGAGCAAAAAGCATGGACTATAGCCCATGGTTTTGGCCGATTTTGGACCATTTTCACACTTTTTGAAAGTATATGCATTATTTATGAAGAATGAAAAATGGTTCAATTTTGGGCATTTTCAAGCAAAAAAAATGGGCTATAGCCCATACTTTTGACCGATTTTTGACTATTTTCACACCTTTTGAAACTATATGCATTATTTATGATTGTTGAAAAATAGGTAATTTTTGAGCAAAAAGCATGGACTATAGCCCATGGTTTTGAACGATTTTGGACCATTTTCACACCTTTTGAATGTATATGAATTATTTATGAAGCAAAAAAAATAGGTCAATTTTGGGCATTTTCGAGCAAAAAGCATGGACTATAGCTCATGCTTTTGACCAATCTTGGTCCATTTTCACACCTCTTGAAAGTATATGCATTATTTATGAAGAATGAAAAATAGGTCAATTTTGGGCATTTTCCAGCAAAATGCATGATTTTGACCAATTTTCGACCAGCTTCATTTTTGGCATCGAAATAACGAAGTTAAGATAAAAAATCACTCTGGTTATTTTAGCTTCATTTTTGGCTTCGAAATAAACAATGTAAGAGAAACGCCCAGCTTGGTTATTTTAACTTGAGAAACCTGTACCTTGGGTATTTTAGCTTCATTTTTCGTTTCCTAATAACCAAGCTAAGAATAAAAGGGAACTCTGGTTATTTAGCTTCAGTTTTCTTTCCCCAATAACCAAGCTAAGGATACTGTAGGGAACGGCTTGGTTAATTAGTTCTCTTTTTTGTTCCACAAAAACTAATCTAAGAATACGAGGAAACCTTATTTATTTAGCTCTATTTTTGGTGTGGTAAATTATTGTCATTTTGGGTAATTCAAAGTGAAAATGTTTGTCTTTTTCCACGTGATTTATATTTAAATGCGTCTCTGAATTTTCCAGGGTTTTAAAAAATGAATTAATGAATAAAACTTTGAACGTAAATAATATAATATAAACCTTTGTTATTTGTTCTCGATTGAAAATGTTGGTTGAAAAGTCTGGTTGCTCAAACACTATAGAACATGGGAGGGGTGAGAGTTGGGGCTTTTGGGGTTGCGGGAATGGTAGGCGAGGGAGGGAAGGAGGGACGCCTCGATGGTAAGACTTCTTCTCCCCTCTTACAAGTAGTTGTCACACTCCTCCACCTTTTTGTAATCTCCCCCTGCCCCATAATCTCCGCTTCAGTTGTCTAAAAAACGTGTGATTTCCCCAAAAATCTTTCGACCCTTTTCCCCTTGGGTTCAGCAAGGCCGCCATCGGACCACAAGTGGATAACAAGTGGCTTCCACACCGTGTGCAATGAGAGCCATTGCCGTAGCAGCGCATACATATATGAGCAGTTTAACCTCAGCTGATCGAATTTATTTGTTTCTAATAGCCTTTATTTGATTGATTTCCACACGTATAACATTAATAGTATAATCTGTTTGAAGACCTGCTGAAAGAGGACTTTTGACGGCGGTTATCATTCATCATACACCAAACTTGGAAAACACTGAAATAAATGAATTGGTTTATCTTAGAACAAAGAACAACAAAAAAAGAAAGAAAGAAAGAAAATGGAAGGAAAAGATAAGATAAAGGAAAGGGAA